CTCTTCTTACTGCCCCGCTTTTATTTATTGAAGCATAGTTTGCCAATTGTTCTAGCTGCGCGTGAGTTGGGCTCGCCGATTGTTCGCCGTGGCGCGCAGAACTATCGAATGCATTTGACAGCTGCTTTTAATATTTGGCGGCGTTTCACAAATTTCATTTGTTATGCCATAAAGGCGAGGGGAGGGGAAGGGGGGGGGGAGGGGCTGCTGAAGTGAGGTAGATTAAAGAGTGGTGCAATCGCGAGGGCAAGGAAATTTGAATATGCTAAATTATGATTCACATATGTATGAGTTCATTCAATTCAATTCAATTAGTCAATCGAAAAGCTTTATTAGCGTTAGTCTATACCATTATGTATATCTATCAGAGAGACAACAGTTACGATCCTCAAAATGGAAATGGAGTTTAAAATGCATATTTCAATCAATTTAAGTGCATATTATTGAATATACAGTAGAGTCCGCCTATAACGACTCCACTCATAGCGTCTGTACGGTAATAGCGACGAAAATTCTAGTCGCCAGACAAACTATTAAAAACAAACTTGTATGGTTAGAGCGTCTAAAGGGTAGAGCAACGATCCATTGAGATTCGTTATATCCGGATTCTACTATAGGTCTATTGTATTGTAAACATAAATAAATAATTGTAAGCATAAATTGTTGTAGGCTAATAAGGTTGATAAGATTCGACTAGAATCATTCGAGGGAATATCACTATGGTTAACTATCGATAGATATACAGTACAGGCCGGCCGCTATAGCGACTCTTGTATATATTTATCGGGGGACCAGAATTTTAGTCGTAGTAATCTTATGAACGTTATAAGCGGAATCGTTATAGCCCGATGCTACCGTATGTACATCTATCGATGCTTAATCGATGGCAATGAGGCTATCGATAATTGGTGCGATGATCATGAATAGCAGAAGAAGAAGAAGAACGAGCAACATTAGCTGCGGATATATTTTAAGTAAAGAAGAAATTAAAGACATGTATACAGTTATATCAAGTAAAGCCAAGAGGGGGCTGAGTGGGCTGTGACACGCCCTTAAAGTTGGCTATCGCCAAAAACACGTTGCAAGTCGGAAATTCAATAAGCCTTGCCTCTTACCCCTTTTCAAGAAACAGAGGCGTAGTGCTCTGTTTAGATAGATGAATTGTTTCTTCAGCCTGCTTTTTCGCGATTAGAGCTTAAGTTTTACTAGTTAGACCTGCTACAGGAAGAAAAAAATAAAATAAAAACTAACAATGAAATCAAGCCACATCTCCAGCAACAGCCCCAGGTACAGCTCCAGCTCCATCTCCAGCCCGAACCCTTAACTAATCAGTGCATTTCGTGCTCTGGTCGCCAAAATCAAATTGCAACACTCCTGCTAAATTGTTGTACAAATAGATGTGAGTGCGCAGCACTCGACAGACAGGTGGATAGAGGGAGAGGTGGGGGGAAGGGGTGGTAACAGCAGCCCATGTAGACGCTAAGCTCATGTAAGTCCGCAGGACGCGTTCGCGATTTGTGCATTACATTTGAGGTCTCGGTTTTGGGCTTTGGGCTTTGGCAGGTGAATGCAACTGTAACAGGCGAGGAAAGAGAGGGAAAAAAAGCAAAAATGATAATAACGCGGCCTGAAAGTATGCAGCGCACGTTTGACAGGCAGACAAACAGAACAGAACAGAGAAGAATGGAAGAGAAGAGGTGAGAAGAGGGGAGGAGGGAGCGTTTGACAAAAAAGCGCAGCCGAGTGACGCCAGAGTGGGGCTGGCTGGCTGGCTGACAGGTGAGGCTCGAGTGGGCTAACACACACACACACAGACAGAGAGATACACGCATACAGGCCACTGCCTGACCGAAAGTGCTTGAGCGAGAGCCTGGCAAAAGGTGTCCTGGGCAAGGACAGGCTAATGTTATTTTTATATTACGCGCAACACGGCAACAGCAGCAACAACAACAACAACAACGACAACGGCAGCAGCAGCAGCAGCGACGGCAGCTACTTAGAAAAGGGCCGCCCTTTGTTTTTGGCCATGCATGTGTTTAATTTTAATGAAATTAACGCGTGTAATGGCAGCCACGCCCCCGCAAAGTACAGCAACAACAACAACAACAAGAAGAAGAACAAAGCACACAAAACTAGAAAGGAGATATACAGCGAGTCCTTGTTGGCCTTTTCTATTGCTGCTAATCTGCTGTCGTTGCTGCTGTCAGTCCGTCCGTCCGTCCGTTCGTCCGTCTGTCCGTCCGTCTGTCCCTCGTCTTTTGATGTATGTCATGCATGGCTCATACGCAGCGTGGGCGGTGGGCAAACGTGTTAAATGTTAATTAAAAAGCAGCCGCTGCAACTGTTACAATTGCGGACCGTGCGTGGCAGCAGTCGCAGCCAGTCAGCCGGCTCCAAGAAGCGGCTTAAAAAAGCTGCACATAAACACGCCTAATTAAGGACGCGGCTCGCTCGCCTTTAACTTGGCCCGCGACGGCGCTTAATTGGCCAGCGTTCTTTTTGCCAAACAGACAGTGAGACAGCAGCACACACAAAGTGGTAAACAAACGAACAGGTTAACAAGCAACGCACACAGAGTGTGTGTGTGAGAGAGAGAGAGAGAGAGAGAGAGAGAGAGAGACTGAGAGAGAGATGAGAGGTAGAGGCAGAGGCACCGCCACGCAGCTTCAACCGCAGGCTGGACCAAATCGTTTCGCCTCCGGCCAGCCAAATAAAATGTCATCTTAAAAATATAATTTTCGCGTATTTTTCTTTGCCGCTCCGC